AAAAAAAAAAAAAATTCCTGCTGTTGAAAGGTCTGGAGCTGCCTGGGCTCCTGCACTTTCTGAGGCATCATTATTTATCAAAAAAAAAAAAAAAAAAATTCCTGCTGTTGAAAGGTCTGGAGCTGCCTGGGCTCCTGCACTTTCTGAGGCATCATTATTTATCTATTTCTTCCTCAGATTTCACGAGCTTCCCATGTATTCTTACAATAATTATTTTTCCTTTGCTTGATCTAGTGGAGTCAGTTTCTATTTCTTGCAACCAGAAGAATCATAAATAATACAGTTTATTTTTTACTTGCTCCTGTACACTTATTCTATAAATATGTTACTAGGTTGACCTCTCCCTACATTGGCTCTCCCTACTCTGATTGACAGGTGAAAAGAAGTGAGCCAACAATCACCGAGTGTCTACCTCAGGGGCTGGGCCGCACAGCACAAAACCTCTCAAGCTATTTTTGTGTCCTGAGTGTGGCCCAGAAGCAGCATGAGAACTATTGTGCCAAATATGCAGGAGCAAGAGATAGCTACAGACCAGGCACAAATTCGTGATTTGGAACTAATTTGGACAGTGGCCTTCTCAGATAGATGAGGTGAGACCAGTGGGTCCCCCCAAGTTGGTATAGCATAAATCCCCAGGATTGTGACTCAACATTAAGAGACAGAGGGAGAACCTTGAATTGACCCAGATTAAGAATCTTTCTGGGCCAGGCACAGTGGCTCAAGCCTATAATCCCAGCATTCTGGGAGGCCGAGGCAGGAGGATCACTTGAGCTCAGTAGTTCGAGACCAGCCTGAGCAAGAGTCAGACCCCGTCTCTACTAAAAATAGAGAAAATTAGCCAGGTGTGGTGGCGCGCGCCTGTAGTCCCAGCTACTCGACAGGCTGAGGCAGGAGGATCCCTTAAGCCCAGGAATTTGAGGCTGCAGTGAGCTATGATGATTCCACTGCACTCTAGTTTGGGTAACAGTGGGAGACCCTGACTCACAAAAAAATAACGATAATTATCATTTCAGTATGTATTCAATATGAAAATACTAATAACATTTTTTACCAAGTCTTGAAAAAAATCAGTATATCTTCTACATTTATCACAATTCAGATTAGCCACATTTCAAGTGCTTAATAATCACGTTATATTAGATAGTGCAGCTCTAAGTAATGACAAGTTAATTACACCATTAAAGAAAAAGTTGTTTACAATCTTCAGGATTTTATTAGTCTAAAGAGGTATCCCTATTTGCATCTAAAGCAATCCCTACAGATACTTCCAAGAATGAAATTCATAGAAAAATCTTTAACTATATTATTGTTTTATGAAATTGCATGCTATTAAATTCTTGGTTTGCTCCTGTGGACATGAAAGAACTTGGCTTTGTCCTTTTACTACATTTTATCATCTCCCCCTATGA